GGGGGGGGGGGGGGAGGGGAATGTGCCTCCCCAGGCCACTGCTTGTTGCACTGCCCAGCTGGTGTCCTGCTCCTGCCTATGCACTCTCCAGCTGGGGCCCCAGCTCCTCCTCCTGCCTGTACCCTGCTCCCTTCCTCACTGTGGGGGCCTTGATCTGCCCCCTGCCTCCCTCCTGCACTGTAGAGGTCTCGATCTATCCCCCACCAAGCCCAGCCACAAAGAATGTAGATTGAAACTTACCTGCTGTACTGGGCAGCCACGCACTGGGGCTGCGATCCTGGCTGAGTGTGTATCTGAGTGTGTGCCACCCACCCACACTCTGCTACAGCAGCCTGCGGCCTGTCTGTTGCCCTGCGTTTCAAGGGGTGGGGGAGGGGACTGAGCCCCGGTAGCACCCCTTCTACCTTCTGTGCCATCCTGTGACACTTAAACTATTAGTGGTAGAAAGAAAGGGCTGCCCTAAACTTAAGATTTTGTGTTTAAAAATAGTGTGCAATGACAAAATAATTGAGCTAGTACACTCTCCTCTTTTATAGCATAAGGTGTTCCGTGGAGAAATGTGCTATGTTGAAAATGAAAATCAGGATCGTGCTGTTGAACCATACTTCCTGCCCATTGCAGAAGAAGCTGATATTAGGGAAGATGACAACATTGCAATCATTGATGTTCCAGTTCCAAAGTTCTCAGATAGTGACCCAGCAGCTATTGTTCATGACTTTGACAGGGTGAGTTAAAAAGGAGCATTTTAAAGCTGTTAAGAAAGGACTGGCTTTACCGTTGACTTTCCTAGATGATTATTTCTCAAATGGCATTGCCATGACTTTATTCTTGAGACTAATAAACTTTGCACCAAAAATTGTGCAGTTCTTAGTTCCTGCAATTAAGTGTTTTTGAAAATTTAGCTTTTGGCTCTGAAGAACTGAATAGTTTCCTTTATCCAAGCAAACTTAGCTGTACTACTAACATAGATGTGAACTCTATAGCTTGACATCTAGTTCTGTTACACTTAAAGAAAATTGCTTTGATTTTACCTCTCAAGGAGCAAAACAGATGAGCTCACATGGAGCTTTGTGCCACTGTAGCCAGGCAGTTCTCAACACCTGAGCTAGCTTGTATATTTCTGCACTTCATTGCTGTGGGCAGTGCAGACATACCTGTGATTTCAGAGCCACTTCCTGTCTAATTCTTGAATCCTTACCTAACCAGTCTTTTTTCCAGAACTTGAGTAGCTATAAGTGAAACTACGAATACTGATCAGAATTGGATTACTAGCACCGCAAGAATGATCTCAATAAGGTCTATCCTAAGTACTCTTGAAAACCTAGCCATGCAGATTTTTGCATGAGAATGGGAGAAACAAAGCCCTCATTGAGAGGAAGTAAACTTGTTTTTGTGTTATCTTGGGGAAACTCTTCCAAAGTGTTACAGAAGCAAAAATGATTTTAAAGTTGCTTTTAAAAATGTATTACTAAGGGGTTTTTGGGTTTTTTTGTTTGCTTTGTTTTTTAATCCTTGGATGGTCGGTATTTCTAAAGATAAATTTTAATTTTTGGAATGCAGTTAGGGAAACCCATACACGTGCACAAGTTTTTCATTAGTGTGTTTGCAGCGCACACTTTATTTCTGTATAAATTGTATAGCTTTTTTTCATTCACTGTCTTGGTGCTCTTCATGTGGTATATGCTTTCTCCTCTGCCTGTATATGCTATACTTGTACTGCAGCTAATCTCTTCAGAGTCTAGATTTTTGCCTTTGTGAGATTGAATTTGCTTTAGCAGTGGGAATCTGAAAACTTTCTTTAACAGTTCTTGTCACCCAGGTTTTTGAAAGCAACTCTTTTTTTTTTCTAGAGTACTGAAACCAGTTCGTGTCATCTGACTGGTAGAAGAAATAATGATATAATCCAAAGACGTTCTTATGAATCACCCCTTGGTTTCTTCTGTTGCAAGTGCTCTTAGTGTTTGGGAGCAACTTTCAGTCTTTCAACGAAAGTGAATTGTAGAAGTGACTTCATATAAATGTGGGGCAGTTGGAAGCTTGCATCAGAGACTTTTTTTTTTTATTTGGGACAGTGTTTTTATCATCACGTGATAAAACCTATCTCTCTGCTTAGTATGACTGAATATGTCAACTTTTAAAATGGCATAATTCTGCTTAACTATTCAGTCTTTCTCTCTTTCTAATTTAACTCCATGATGTTAGTGAGTACTGGCTGCTCACATCCTATTGACAAAGAGGAAGACTATCAGAACAGTAGAGCTGTTCTGTGACTTGCTAGAGCTAATAGTTTAGCAGGCAAACAAAAAAAAATTAATCTCTTACCTCCCCACCCCTCCGTGCTTTCCAATCACTGGTATTTAAACCAGTGGTTAGTGCAGTTCTTGGTTTCATTTTGAAGGATTTTCCCGTTTTTGTGGCACCAGCTTTATTCTTATCCAGTATTGAAAGTGATACTGATACAGAAAATTGAGAAGTTGCTGCTTTTTTGATATCTGGTTTCCCTGGTTCTTAAGGATAGATGTGTCACAGAACTGTACCATTAGTTAAAGGGACTGGGCACTTTGTATGGGAATCTTTGTCAGGAGTTTTATAAAGCACCATGGAAAAAGTAAAATTCATATAAATAGACTAGTGTTTATATTGAAACTGCAGTGACCCTGAAGCATTCTGCTCTTTGCAGCATTGTAACTTATGATCAAATCACTTGTACTCTGTTGGACTATTTCTAACTGGACATGTTTTAATTAGATTGCTGTAATTACAAAAATACATCTCCAAGATACCGAGACTTTCTCTGTTATTAATTGTATTCTATGTGATACAAACTACTGAAGACCAAAAACATTTATGGTCTGGTAGTCAGTTTTTCAGTTCCTGTTAGTAAGTAAGCTTTTTGTATGAACCATGGCTTATCTGCTGTAAGCTTACTTTAACTGTTAATGTTAATTCTAAAAATAGCCTTCTTCTGATGTTTCTTATTGTTCTGATCTTGGATTCCTAGACTTCCTAACGAATCTTGTTTTTACAGAGTCTAACAATCAATTATAATGGTCACAAACTGAGAGAGCCCTTGCTTTGTCAAAAACAGCTGTTTAATTTCTTTCCATAATAGCTTCTGACTGCTTATCTTGACTTGCAACTGGGTAACTGCTATGTGATCCCTCTGAACACATCCGTTGTTATGCCACCAAGGAATCTGATGGACCTGTTTGCAAAACTGGCGGTATGTACAACTGTATTTGATATGGTTAATGTGGTGACTTCTTATTTACAGTGAAATTCAGGAGCAGTGTCTAGCATTTTTGCTATATTAAATCCTTTCATTCCCCAAAAGTGTAGTTCTTTCTTCTTGCTGAATTGTGGTAAATCATAGAATATGTTGCACCTGTTGAATAGAGAGAGCTTCACTTTTTTCTCCCAAGTCTACTACTTTCATATGCGAAGTACCTGGCTTTTTTTGAAATCTAAAATCTTGCAAATAACAGCTGATCTGGCCACTATGAAGAAATTAATATTGGGTAAAACAGAATAAAGTCTAAACCTAGTTGTCATTTACTGGAATGACCAGCTGTGTTGGTTCAGTGAAAACTTAGGAAAAGAACTGTATGATGTTATATTCCCAAGTTACTGACTTCTGATTACCTGAAGTGTATATCTGAGCATGCATTGTGATGCAAATGTAAAAACAACTTGTTGGCCAAAAAAGGCCCTTTCAGCTGTGCTTTTAAGGTTAAAGAAGAAATGATTTCCGCGTCCAATTCAAAATTCTAAAGGTAGGTGCTAATGTTTTATGCATGCAGCCCTCCAATATAGGTATCTCTATATATAGAGCTACATAATAGATGTGTATGTATGCATAATATGTATTTGTACTATATAGTTTAGATGAGATATAGAACTAACATTTCTGCTTCTGTGCTTAGGGCTGTCTTTCAGTTTGTCCCCTGCTAGTCTTGTTTAAAGGGGTCTAGTTACTAATTACAACTTTGCTATTGTATTGCATTAGTAAACTGAATGTGACCCTTCATGGTGCATAGGTAATGTTAAGAATGAATCCCGTGTTCTGGCTATATTAACAATAAAACAGAACAACTTAAAATCCAATTGTCAAATATTGATTTAGCAAGTGATCGTTCAGAAGATCACTGTGGTTTCATAAAATATTCATTAAAGAAATTTGACTGAACTCTAATCGTAAGACTCAAGTTCAGTTAAGTTACCTAAGAAGGTTCTGGTAACAATTTTAACAGCTTTCTTGTGTTTTCTCTTTCTCTCCTTTCTATAGACTGGTTCGTACTTGCCCCAGACTTACCTGGTTCGTGAAGAAATGGTGGTAACAGAAGAGATAGATAATGTATCTGACTTGGGCATCTTCATTTACCAGCTTTGTGTAGGAAAAGAGACCTTCAAACTGCAGCGCAGGGATCGGATAATGGGTGAGTGGTTTCTCCAGAGAAGAAAACCTACTTTAGCAGGAGGGTTACACTTAAGAAAGATGAAAATGTAGGTGGATGCCAAAGTAGCCTGTTTAGAATAATAATCCCCTCCACCATTTTTTTTTTAAATGTTTTGACTCTTGGCATTCTCTTCAAACGCTGTTGAGTTCAAATTTTTTTTCTTCACCAAGTTAGTGTGCATCTGCTACAGGATACAGATTTCTCAGTTATGTCCCCAAAAACTCAACTGGTACTCGGCTCACTTCAGTTTTTCTGTCAGGACCAATAAATGGATTCTGGGAACTATCAGTCCTAAATACATGTAGTGAGAGCATTAAGACTACAACTTGGATTATTAGGCTTTACATAAGCAGTGCAGTTCTTTGGACTCCGAAAAAACTTCAGAGTTCTTTTTGGCATCTGACATAAGTAATAAACAGCTGGGAGGAAATCATAACCAGAAAAAACCAAACACCCTGTTTCTGTTGCATTCAGGCTTTTACTATCTCATCCTAAATATTCTGGTCCAAGATTTAATAACAGCCATTACTTGAGCAAGCCAAGAGCACCTGTCTTTTTTCAAAACAGTTTTTTTAGTTTTCTTTGTTTTGTGTCTTTAGCTAACACAAATATGTCTGTCATGTCCTAAAGAAGTTTGTAACTTTTTTGGCATTGCAGATCTTTACAGTGTTTGATGTCTCTTTCATACCAGAATTTTACTGTGGAGCTAAGTTGCCTCCCACTTTTTAGGAAATTAAGTCGCTACTCTTAATACAAATGGCATAGAGACTTCTTGTCTGGGTGTAAGGGTCTGTAGTAACATCTTGTCTACCAAAACCTGGAGGAAGTAGATAAGATGGAGTTGCCATTCTTCTTCCTCTTTCTACTTCGTGCGTACTGGAATATTTGCTTGTCCCTCTCATGTAAATGCCATCAGCCTGTCAAAGTTTTGACAAAACTGGGGTTTTTCTTTGCTGTTTTGTTTAAAGCACTGGGAAAGCAGAAGCAGGTACTCAGTTTAGTCCTGAAGTTCACAAGTGTAGGACTAATGGTTGGGGGGGAAAAGCTAACTTTAAAGCTCTTGTTAAAATGACAGGCATGCTTTTTAGTTCAGAGAGTAGTTTATAGCAGCTAAATTAACCAGTGCTGTGCTAAAGATTGCAGTCCAAATGAGCAGTGAGTGCAGGAGAGACTAACTGTCCAGTAACGTGTTATGTTAGTAATATGAATTAGCACTAGTGGTTACGTGTAGGGGGTGCACGTGCATCCGCTGAGAGTACTGGTGCACCTCCTGACAAGCAGGGAGTGCTGCCTAGGCAGTAGGCGGGGGAGGGAGGGAGGTAGGAGCACTGGCACCTACCCTGCGAGCACTGGCTGGGGAGCGGAGGCGCCAGGTGAAGCACCGCTGGCACTTCTGGGAGCTCTGCTCACACTTCCTGGTCAGCGTGATCAGGACCCCCTGGTCACTGACTAGCTGCTGGGGGTGGGGGGGGGGCATGTGCTCCCTACCCCCCCGATTCAGGTGGCACCAGTCGCCCGTGATTAATGCTGACAAGTTACAAGTTCCTTCCCCAAGAGTTATTTGAATATGGAAGTCCTGTTTTTTCAGGAAATGGGTAATGTCATGTCATAGTGATGCAGGGAGTATTGCTCTACTAAAGTTTGTTTACGCCTCCCTTTTTTTAATTTAATTTTTTTAGAGTTTTAGAATGCTGCAGACAGAAATGCCAGAACTAAAACTTAGCATTAAAATTGTTGTTTAACAAAACATTTTTTCTTAAGTATGTAGCCAAGTACCTCTTTCTACATCCTCTGCACAATCATGGACTCTGAAACTGTTTAAACTCAAATGAGTAAATGCAGGGCTGGGTATTACGGGTTGAAATTTAGGCTCTCTGAGAGCATTTTGACTTGAATTCATGTCCTAGATTTGTCTGCTACAGACCCAGTTTTGTTGCCTCTTGAAGTACTCCTGCAAGATGGTTCACCTGGGATAGAGGAGGATTGTGGGCATTGTTCTAGTAAATCTTAAATTAATCGGAATAAGATACAGTGCAAAAGTTCCCAATGGCTTTGTAAGCTGCTGTTCTGGGGAGGAGGGGGGGAACTAAACTATTTAAATATGCAGTTTTATAAGCTAAAACTTCAAGTAAAAATTGGTCCCTTCATCTGTTTGTCACTTGTATTTGCAGTGTTGGGGCTCTCCAGGTAGCTAGCATATTTTGAAATGTTTCCTCACGGAAGAAATCATGCCCTTTGTTTTTAAGTTACATAAGTTATTGGTAGTAGTAAGCTGCTGAGTCATTCTCCGTCAGATTTATCATTCTGAGAGCCCTTCAGTGCAAAACATTTGATCATAAATTAGCATGTTTCTCCTGTGCCACATTTTAGTGCCTGCTTCTCCTCTCCCCTTCCCCACTACTTCCTGCTTAGCTGAAAGAGGAGGGGGAGGAGGAGCTGGGCTTGCAAGCTAGCTCTCTGCCTAGCCCCTTTCACTTAGCCAAACAGTTGGTGGGGGTGGCCACAGGAAAGCCTCCCAAGTCTCTCCAGTCCCTTCAGCTTCCTCTCCCTTTCCCCTCACCTTCCCCCTTCCCCCTCATCCTTGCTACTCAGCTGAGCAGTAGAGGCCATGATTAAAAGCTGGAGTGACCAGGAGCTTGGCTTATGGAGACTTTCCCAAGCTGGCTCCCAGCCCGCTAGTTTTCCCCTTGCCACCCAGCTGATCCAAGCCAGAGCAGGGTGAGGCAGGCTGCTGTCATGCAGAGCCTTGCCACCACAGTTAAATGCTCCTGCCTCACCCTGCACTGTTCTGGGTTAGCCCAGAGCAGCACAGGACAAGACAGGCTGCTGTGCCCATATGGCAAAATGCCCAGAACTTTGCTATGGCAGTGGAGTACTCCCAGTCTCCCTGGACTTCTCCCATCCCGCCTGAAGAAGTACGAAGAGCAGGGCTATTCTCCCTGTAAGGGAGGCCTGGAATGGTTCCCATCACAGGAGAATGCCCCCCTCCTGCCAATCAGTCTATTGGCAGGATAAGGAGGAGTATTTTCCCAGAGCAAGAACCTTCCTGATGCTGGCTGTGGCAGCTGCTGCTTGACAGCCTGTACCTGTCCCTGACAGAGAAGAGGACAGGTTGTCAATATATGGGCTCTTGTAAGGGCAAGAGGTGGCAACCCTTTATTGCTCCTGGCTGAAGAGATCATGTAAGAAGCTGTCCACCTGTGGTGCTGGAACATGTGTACCGTCCAATTCCCAAGCTATTTTTTCATTGGAAGAAATATGTGGGAGAAACGAACATCTGTATGCAGCCTAAGTGTTTTAGCAGAGTCAGAAAGCTTATGAAGAACCAGGTTCTGTTACTTGCAGATCTTGTTTGTTCCATTAGGACAGGAATAAGCCTCCTCTTTGTTTTGGTACCAATGCATGAAATGGCTGAACACTAAAAATAGCTCTCTGCATCCATTCAGAATATTCTGAACAGTAGAGTGGGACAGATCTGAACATACCTTTAAAAGGGCTTGGAAACCTCCATTGGGAAGTCTGTGGCTTAGATAGATAGGTTTATGGCATAGCCTTGAGTAGTTTATGTTGGTGTTAGTTATTCAGATAGTAAACTGGTAAGAAGATACTGGAGAAAAATGGGGAAATTATTAAATATGAGAATAAACTGTAAATTTAAGGAACCTGTTCTAGTTGCTTACTAGAAAGTTAATACACCTCTAAGAGATAGGTACAGGCTTTTTTAAATTAGTCATAAGGCTGTGTACAAATGTATGGGCAAGTGACTGTGGTGGAACTAATAGAGGGTGTTTATCTTGCCTTAGCTTGTCATGCCACTGCTATCTCATTAAAAAGGTTGAAAACCCCTGTCTTATAAGTGTACCCCCAAGAAGCCAGACACAGGGGAGGGGCAGGGGGCGTGACTGGATGTGGAGTGGCAGCCACCGCATGAAAGTTCCCCCCTCCCCCTGCATCTGGCCAGGTGCTGTCTGTGCACTCCCCCCAGCCCCCGCTCCATCCCTGCTTCCAGGCAGCGGTGGCATGGGGTGGTGGGTAGCTGCATTCCATCCCAGCCCACCCACATGTACTTAGGAAGGGCCTAGGGGGTACCCCCGGGGGTACACATGCCCCTGGTTGACAATCCGTGTCCTAAGGAAAAAGCAACTTGCCACCAGCAGTTACAATTTTATTTATTTATTCGGTTTTTACTTTTGTCTTTTCTTCCACACAGGTTTGCAGAAGCGCTCTGTTGAGAACTGTCATGCAATCAGACACTTCGAAAATTCTTTTGTCGTTGAAACTAAGATCTGTCAACAGTGAATGGCACTGAATAGAAAGTGACTATTTCACATCTTCATTTGGAAGTCTGAGCTACACAACCAGACTTCTCAATTAAAATGTGCAGTGATAATCAAAAGCCTTATGCATTTTCTGTGTATTGCTTGTGTTTATAAAACAAATTCACCGTTTCAGCTTTCTTTGATCCTTGGTATAACAGCATATATTTAGTTTTTCATGTAAAAACAGAAATTTGAGTAAATTTAAAAGAAAAAGATCATTTCATTCATTGGATGCGTCAGATTTTAGAATAATCTGGAATGGCAAAAAAAAAGGCAACTAATTCTTTGGCTAGAACCAA